GGGTTTTTTTCCTCATTTTTCCAATAAAAAAATTAGAGTAGGGGCTGTCAGAATAGGGTACATGTAGTAGGTAAAGAAACCGGAAGCAGAACTATTTTTTTTGGCCTAATACTTAGAATGGCCATGAATTTGAAAGGGGATGTTCAGCATTCAAATTACACTGTGCCTAGTGTTAGAAAATCATAGCTTTTGTTCCCATATCTGGGAACTCAAAAAAGTAGGATGAGTATTCAGAATTTAATTGCAGATTTTTTTTGCATTTTGGACTTTAATTTTTAATTACAAAAAGGAGGAGTGAACAATTCAGCAGATAAAGAGTAATTCAGTCTTCTGTTTTCATCACAGGCTGCTTTTATATAAACTACAGTAACTTGGTTCAACTGTAGGCGTATCCAATGCCAAAACACAATACAGTTTGCAATGGATTTCGTCTGGGTTTAAATTTTCAATGTAATTTGCACTGAAATTGCACTGTCACCCACTGAAAGTAGGGAACAGATGATTTACACTTAAAAGTTACTGTAAGATTGAAAAAAAAAGTTGGAAATGAAGACATGACAGGAGTGGAAACTCAGTCTATCTGATTGAGTAAATTTCATTCCGTTTATGTCTCATGCCTGAACTGAAATACCCAAACAGCCTCCCACTGCACAAAAGGCTTTAAAATGAAACATAAATATCAACAGTAGAGCTTTCAAAGAAGAAACTCATTAGTGAATAAACTGATAAATGTTTGATGCTTACATCATCAAAAAAACTGAGAGCAAAATTTGCCACTTTGGTTTAAAAAAAGGCCGCTACAATTTTAAGAACAACATTATTCTAGACGACTTTGTATAGTATGATAAATTGGCGAAAAATAAAATTACACTATTCATGAAATTTATATAAAATTCAAATCAGACTGTTGATTTAAAATTGATGCAAAATACAAGTCTCGTTTCTTTTTTTAATTTTCCACTGCAAAGTTAATGCAGGTCCTCTACTGAAATCATGTTTTGCTAAAGAATGCCATCACAATAATTAGCAATACAAGTTTTCTTGAGTTCATTTTGCATATTACCTGTGCGTGTATGGCAATATGTCAAAATGATACCCAGCAAAACCTTATTACAAGTATATACACACAAAATTAAGCACAATACAAAAAACGAAGGGGAATAAATAACAGAAGTTCTATTAATTTTTTTTCTTCAGTCAGTTAAAAAAATAATGCAGATTTGTTGTTATTGAATCTGCAAAGCAAGCGTATAATACCAAACTGGTTTTTAATTAGGGCCTATATTTTCTGTTTCAAAGTGATGGCATTCTACAACAGTTGAATATTCCATTCAACATTTTTTTTTTAGAATTCACTGGGATTTAAACTATCACCGAAACACAACTGTCGAGTTAATTAAACAAATTTGGCCAAGGTCAAGCATAGAGTCCTAGCCATGCACACATTCAATCGAAGAGATTCTATCTGATATACACTACATCTAGGAGAATAAGTGTAAGCACAAATATTGACCAGGGCTATAATGAATGGAGGAGCTGCTTAACCATAGAGCTATATTAAATTACTAGAGCACTAACTCCTCATTCTTGCGCGCGGAGACGCTTTGAAGTCTCTCTGGGCGCAGACATTTTGAATTTATGTGCGTGTTTGTAAAACACAATCAAAATAGATGGATTGAATTTTAAAAGTGTACTCTAAATGCAACGCGCAAGTAGAAGATACGCAAACAACTTAAGCGCGCCATGACAGTTCAACAAACGTCACCGCGAAAAGTACCCACAGCGGAGGGACGCGCACACGTTGCGCTGTTTGCGTAGAGCAAAATGAAACGCTATTTGCTGATCGTGCGTTTCGGTTTGGGGCGTATCGGCTTTGATGACGCACCGGTATGGAATACAAATGCAGATATGCAAATAGCCGTACAAAAGCTGTACAAGGCTTGCGCACAAACATGGATGCGCCCATCAGGCATTGCTTTGTGCATCGAGTTAGCGCTCTAGTAATTTAATATAGCTCTATGTGCTTAACTCATCTAAATATATATCATCAGATAAATATTAATATTGGCTCGTACTCATGTTCTACAGGTTGTAGGCCTAAAATTATTGCCTCAGTAGGGTGTCAGTAAAACCAAGATGTTGTACATGCCATCTCATGATCATGTTTCATAATAACAAATGAGAGAAATTGGATTTTGGCTGGTAAAAATTTGACTTTATTTTTGGAAATATTGGCATGGTACAACATCTAATTAACAAGTTCAAATTAATTTACACACAAAAAACAACCAGAAGTACTTCACAGAAATTCAATGGTTCTTTTAAGTGGATTCCAACATTTTAAGGATATCCACAACTGGGACAATATACTTACCTGTCTATTATATTTTTTATTTTATTTTTTGCAACAAAAAAGGAGAGATAAGAATTCACAATCGTTTTAGTAATATTGTTTTTACAACAAAACATTGGAATCCAAATAAAAGAATTTAGCCTTGCTCTCATCAATCTTTACAAATATAGGAAAGGTCTATTTCCATGTCATTTCAAAGTAAAGAATAAGGCATTTAGATTTGTAGGTAAAGAGCATGGCAAGATATGGTAAGAGTAGAAATGTTCCTGTCATTGTAATTGTAAAACTGGTTTTCCCATTGAACATGGTTTCAGGAATGGTTACCAAATGTGATAATCAAATTGATGATAACTTGGCAATGCAGAATTGATGATTGGTTCAAAGCATTTATCTGATTCTTTCATTGCAAAGGATTTTTAAACAGTGCAACTGTTTGCATTCAATGACTATAACAAAATGTCGAAACCAAATCACACAGTGGCATTTATAAGAATTCATCAATTTTGTGCAAAGCAAGGTAGACACTTTCATTCAAATAAAAATAATTGATAATTTTGTCTAAAGGTATAGGGTCAATTGTGAGCAGTGTGAATTATAAAAATAGCTAAGGACTAACCCTTTAAAAGCACTTGCATTGCATGACTTCCATTTGCACAATTACAGCAATATACTTCACACTATCTTGCTGCATTCACATTATGACTTTTTAGAAACATTCTTGTCAAAACCTGACTGACTGTTGGAAACTTTATTGTTGGAAACTTTATTTATGCAAACTTGATGTATGTAAATTTGCATCTTGAATTTGAGCATGTTAATTTTTAAACTGCAAGGAAGGACAAGGTTTTACAAACCTGATAGACCCCAACTGAATCTCAACAATGCAAGAAATCGCTATAAATTTATTTTATCTCAGACAGGAGATGACTGAAAATAGGGCTTCACTTTATTTTCACATTTTTATGTGTTATGTGGAGGACTAATAATCAAAGCAAGTGGGTAAAATCACATCAACTAAAAAAACGAATCAGTTTCAAAAATGAATCAGTTTGTGTATTTGAAGGATTTGAGATTTGTTAAAAAAGCCTGTTTAGGAAATTGTACATCTTTTGCAGGGGCACTTTTTAAAACAAAGTGAGTGGACAAGGCAAAGGCAGAGTTCAATTCACCACTTTTGGTTTCATAGCTGCTTTCTTATTTACATCAATTGATTTTGTTTGGGTTACATGGACATTACGGCCTGGAATATACGCCCAATTGGGATACAGAAACGCATTTTAAATGACTTAATATCCATTGGAAATAGCATTTCAATACGTCCACTTAAAAACTAGGAATTTTGGGGGTTATTTTTGCAAAAATCTCAAAAATCGAGCTGTTGAGTGCTAGTTGTGAACGGACGTGCAAGAAACAACATTTGTGTGTATTGGTGCTGTGTGTATTGTGTGACACACACACACACACAACATGTACTATAGGCCTACATTGAAAAGACATGGCTTGAAATACATATGCTTATGCCACAAAATGTTCCCCACATTTGATGTAAACAAGGTTTTTTTTTCTTTTCTCAGGAACGATAAGATAATAGGTTGTTTTCCTTTCAACAAGACCTTTGAAATAGGATGAGTAAACAATAACAAAATGTCATGTTTGGGGATTTCAGGCCGTAAATGTCCCTGTAACCCTAAACCCTAGGATATGACAAATATTACAAGTGACAGTTTCAGAACTGTTAAGGATAGAATTATGTAATCCACACTCCATCAAACCACTAGACCATGCATGAAAGATTACCAAGAACTTTAGCTATTTAGAAAAGTAAGCAGTTGCTGTAAACGAAGAATGGGAGCTCTCCAGAAACTATGTAAAGTCCCATTCAGAATTTTCCAAAATATCGGTTTCTCATAATTTTCCACTGAGCTGAAACCTCAACAGGCTAGCTTTTGAACACATGCTTCTTTTGATTTTAAGTCGTGTTAACATTGGAAACGAACGAAAGGAATAAAGAGCAAGTGATCTTACATGTATATGCCTTCAAGTCAATAAATCCACTGCTCATCATTTTTGGAATAACTGAGAAATTTCAGTGGTGTACACATTGAAAACAATTGAGACATTGAAACATTGAATCCTTACTCCTCAAAATGCAATTGAATCAGCTCAACATTTTTTTGTTTACTTTTACCTTCAGGAGTTTCCAAATTTTTTGGCAACTGTGTAGTGGCCCCTCTTTAGTTTTGATAAGATTAAAGTCAAAGGTGTTTTTGTTTATTCCAAAATGACTTTTGTCTGACTAAAGCAGACTTCTCCTCGTTCTCATGACATGCTTTTTTTGGTGGTAATATTGAACAGTTTGGTAAGTGCCGTGCAAATCAACACAGTTTCGCATGTTCACTGTGATCTTCTATCAGTGCTTTAACCAAAAATTTGTCTCAATAAACAAAAACCCTGGCCTCTATCTAGGGCATACCTGTTGGTTTGTAATATCACTAACTAGTTTGGTAAGTTTAATAACCTAAAAGCAGATTTTTGTTCTTTATAAGGAACAGGGCCCTACACTACACAATCGCCAATTTGTGGGACCAAGTCTAGCTTTGATGGAATGTGGATAGGTATAACACTGACCAAAGCATTACAAACTCACCTTCTACAGTGTTGCTTTCTGTAGTTGGAGGTCCAAAACCATGGAACGTTGGGTGAGCTATCAGTATAGGCAAAATGCAGACAGCTGTTGGTAAAAACAATTTTAAAAAAGTAAGAATCTACATGTACATTACAACCAGAATTTGTTCAACTTCTAATTATGGTATTATCGCTGGGAGTTTTTCAGAAATGACTGCAGAATTTTACTTGAGGTAATGGGTCATGCACCTCCTTCATTTATCTCATCCTACAACAAATGTCAAGTAAAAAAAGGAATTTTAACCCTAACTCCCTAGGGGGTGTGCAAAATTATATTGAAATTGGAGGATTCAGGACTGTTAGGGCTATCATGCATCAATGTGTGGCTCTAAATACGGTGGAGGCCTGTACGTATGTCATCCTGACTCGCTGGCTATCTTTAACATTGATCTGTCATAACTCCCAATGTGATTTAGGCATCAGTCCCAACATCTCACCCTTAACTCTCTCCCATAAATGAAAATTTATTGCAGCCTTAAATTGTATTTATTTACAGGTTAAGCTTCTCAATTTTCCAAATGTAAAAAGCACAACATTTTGATTCCACTTTTTGCCTCCATCGTGGTAAGCAATTGCAATTTATGCAAACAACAAAATACAAGAATTTCTTAGCGAATTATGTTTCTGATTTTGAGAGAAAAAAGTCTTAAATAATTACGACCCCCTAGTTAGAAAAATTTGGAAACTTTCTTTTGCCTCAATATGAAATTGCATAACGCATCATGATCAAAATTTTTATATAAAGACTTAATGGAGATTAAAAGTTTATCACAATTCAACATCCCTTATTTGACAGCTTTAGTTGGGGAATTTTCCCTTAAAAAAAAAGAAAGCTTCCCTTAACAGGATCACCACCGGGAAGGTAGCTGTCATGATCCCATGTTAGTAGAGAGAGAAAGAAGGGGGGGGGGGGGGAGGGCCAGAAATTAGATGGTGCGTGCAAGAGATGGAAAGGGAAGGTAGGGGTGGAGAAAAGAGGAAGCAGGGAGGAGGAAAGGTAGAAATGAAACAGTGCGTGCAAGTGACAAAAGAAAAGAGTAGGGGTGAAGAGGAGAAAAAGAGGAAGCAGGGAAGGTAGGCAGAAATGGAACAGTGCGTGCGAGAGAGCGACAGAAAAAAAAGAGTACAGGTGTATAGGAAAGAGGATGAAGGAAAGATAGACATGGTACGGTGCGTGCAAGTGGTGCGTGCGAGTGATGGTAGTAAGAGGAAAGAGGGTAGGGGCTGAGGGTAGGGATGGTGGGTAGAGGGAAGGGTGGAGGAATGTACGGTGATGAGCCGGTCAGGAATCACCAGGGAGGAGTAGGGATAGTCTTGTCTCAACTGTGGCTGCAGTGCAATGACCAGCTCCAGCGTTTCACAGGTGAGATGCACTTTAAAAACTTGAAGGACCATATACTCAAGCAAATGGTTACTACTAAAAAGTCACTGTAAGCTAACCACACAGCCAGTTGGCTTGTGGTATAAATCAAGAGTACACAATTGAATAGCCATTTTCCCCTACCCTTTTGTGGGCAGGGTTTTCAATTCAATTAAATGGCAGAAGCAGAATCATTTATCGAGACTTCTTGCAGTAGGGGCCCTGTCACACTTCTGCGTATCCTAATTCCTTATGAGTTGCGCATTGACATTTTTTTCATACGCAGTCGTATGCACAATACGCACCTCATTTGCATCTCTATCGTTTTGTGTAAGTTTTATGTACGCAGGCATACGCATGGTACGGCCCAGTACGCTGGATAGTTTTGGGCATGCACAAAACTACGCTGCGTACGCTGTTACGCAGGTCATAAGTTATAAAAACGCAGTGCATCGGTCCCACATCGGTCGAGCGCGGTACGAGTACGGTATGTGTTCATGGGGAATAAGCCATTCATACGCGGTAATACGCAGACCTCCTATATTGGACATATACATAGCGTACTTGCAGCGCAGATACAACGCACGATGAACGAACTCATATCGAATGCCGACGTATTGCACGAATTAGTACCGCTGGTCCTGCGCAGTGGATGCGCTGAATTCGTTACTTGTTCGCTAGATATGCGTCGCACATTAGTCAAAGCAATCAAAAAAATTTTGACGTTTTTGATCGTACGGCTGCGTATTGAAAATTGTTGATAAGGACCTCATAAGGAATTGGGATACGCAAAAGTGTGACAGGGGCTTAAGCTAACAAAAATGAAAGTTCAAATTACATGAAAACTACAACTTTTGGGCAAACTTCCTCTTTTGGGGGCAGGACACTCATAATTAGGGTGTGGGGAAATTACAAATTTGCTAAATAATACAATGTCAATCCAAACCCAAGTCATATTTTCCCCTGATTTTGGCATTAGCAGTAAGCAGTAAATAAAACAGCATATTCCAAATTGCATTTCAATTTGATGTAAGAGTAAGTGCACTTTTTTTAGTGAAAAAAGTAACATTTTTGATAACAAAAATAGTTATGATATAAATGAGCACTTTTGTCTTTGAAATACATTTTGTACGTATCAATTACAGTAGATGCCAAAGTTTGACTGTCTATTCTTGGAATCAAATCCATCACAAACATGGGACACTTGAGGATGGATTGAAGAAAACTTTTGAAGGATTTAAGGAAGGAATCATTTTTTTAAATCGTTAAATCTCACATCATATTTATATTCTACATGTAAGTGACTTCCAGTTGTCAAATAGAGGCTAGCGTATGCCTACATGTACATTGTATAGTTCTTGTATAAACATTATTTTTATCATCAATTATGCCTAATGCCTTATCATGACTGGTAAAACAAGCATGTAGAGTTGTCAAGACAAAACAAATGTATCACGGAAGAATTGAAAAAAAAACAACACATTCAAAACTGTGTTTTTTCAATAACAGGAGCAAAATAATTGCCAAACCTTAAAATTTTCCTATTTTAATCTACTGAATGTACCTGAATCCAACATTGACTTCACAATTCAAACTCACTGTTCATTTGGGCCTCAAAATTATCTATGCATGAGCATGGGCGTCGCCACAATTTTTTTCTAGAGGGGGCAAAACATATTTTTCCCAAAAAAATCCTGTATTTCTCAACATTTTCTCGATTTATTAGTTTTAGAGGAGGGCAGTAACATTTTGCCCCCCCCCCCAACCCATTAAATTTACACCAATATGACTTCGCGCCTCCTTTTCTAATCTTCTCTTTTTTTCTCTTTTTTCTTCCCTTTTTTCCCCTTTTTTTCCTTTTCCAGGGGGGGGGGATGGGTGGGCAAGCACCCCCCCCCTTGCGACGCCCATATGCATGAGCATGCCCCCAAACACCAATGAGTCTATTACATAAATTCACGCTGCATCACTTGTCCAAGTATTAACCCCGTTTGGTTTGACCGTGCTCATGCAATTGTGACATTCAAAACGTTGCTTAGTATCCATTTTACAGGACCAGGGTTCAATTATCATGCTCTATATGCCTCGTTGCTGCAAAGGGCTCCGTGAAGTCTGTTTGATTTTCTTCGCTGTTGTTTGCACTAGTAATAGTGAATGTCCCAGGCCTTCACATGATTGAATTTCTATGAAGCCGATTCTTGGCTCTGGACTTTGTGGACAGAGGATAGGTTATTTTTATCTAGAACTGATTGTTTTGGTCATTTGGCCCCTTTCCCCCTGAATTACAATGTATTTGAGCAAACGTTATTACGATATTTTTTTTTTCACACATTTTAACTTACTGTTTACTTTAAAGTTGAAAACCATGTATTTTCTTCTTCATAGTTTCTTGCATTTTATTTTGGGAAAGGGAATTTTTGCAACGATGCATTGGGGCATTTGTTCTGAGGACTAATACGAGCGCTTAGCACAAAATGTCTTACAGTGTGAGGTCCTGGGCACGCTAAAGGGCCCCAGGAAATTTTAGAATCCAGATGCTCTGCGGTACAGTCTGAGGTAACCAATGCATTATGTAAGGTATGCCCCTACAAGCCTCGGATGTGTAAAATATGTTTTCTAATTTCTGTCTTATAAAAGTTTACTACAAAAAATTCTGAGGCACTCACCAATTTGGAGCTCTCAGTCATCCTGAAAGCCAGAAAAGATGTAATTATGACCTCAGGATGGTGCCTCATCCCTGGCCCTCACAGGCATCCTGAGCTGCAACCTGATGCACGGTTACACGGTTGTGTACAAAGTCTATGGAGAGTCAAGAAAATTATTTAAGTATTTCCTAACAAAATTTGAAATGTTTCTCAGTCCCAAATCAAGGGCGGATCCAAACACAATTGTTTTTGGGGGCCAAAAAAGTTTTGTAGTCCCCCAAAATCCAGCTGGATTTTTTGGGACCCACTTTTTGGGGGACCAAAAAATGTTTTGGTCCCCCAAAAAGAGGGTCCCCAAAAATGCGGCGTGGGGTTTGGGGCCCACTTAAGGGCCTTGAATTTTTTTGGATTCTACTGTAGTCTGTAGATCGATGCTCTGTGGTGCCATCTGAGGATATTTCTGATATGACCACTTTAACCAAATCTTTTGGAGGAAAGATGGTGGTATACACGTAGCCCCACTAGTGTGGCCGTCGGTATGCTGCGCTGAACCCAAGGCCACACACCGTGGTCTGCGCACTACTGAGGACGTTTTCATAAATTCAACAGCGAATTTCTTACATATGGTTGTATTCTACGATGTTCCAACTTTCACTTCTGGGATGCTTGGGTGTAATGATGTTCAATTTTCCAAGATATTCTTGAATCTTTCTGGAGCCCATATGCACTCGTGAAACGTCTGGTGATGGCAGCCATTTTGAATGGGACAAGAGATGACCTCAAGCTGTGACGTCGCGTTTATGCAAATTGCTTGTTGAGCGCGCGAGGGCGCGAGTTGCAAATGCGACGGCTGTTTCCTGTGCCGTAGATCCTGAATAGAGATCGGTGCACATGGCCCCCTGACGATAAATGCATGGTACAGGAAACAGCCGTCGCATTTGCAACTCGCGCCCTCGTGCGCTCGACAAGCAATTTGCATAAACGCGACGTCACAGCTTGAGGTCATCTCTTGTCACATTCAAAATGGCTGCCATCACCAGACGTTTCACGAGTGCATATGGGCTCCAGAAAGATTCAAGAATATCTTGGAAAATTGAACATCATTACACCCAATCATCCCAGTAGTGAAAGTTGGGACATCGTAGAATACAACCATATGTAAGAAATTCGCTGTTGAATTTATGAAAACGTCCTCAGTAGTGCGCAGACCACGGTGTGTGGCCTTGGGTTCAGCGCAGCATACCGACGGCCACACTAGTGGGGCTAGTATACACGGTGCCTGCCTTTATTGTGACACCACTTTAAAAAAGAAAGGGTTTCGTTAATTTTTTTGGGGGGGGGCATGGCCCCCGTTGGCTCCCCCTGGATCCGCCCTTGACCCAGATTTTTGTAATGAATAACCTTCATTGCGTCGATATATGAAGAAAAAAAGTGGCGTCAGGTTGCAACATTTTTTGCACAAAAATCTCTCTCAGGAAAGATTCCCATATCTGGCCAACACTTTTCACCCTGTGCACAAACAGTATGAACTGGTCTGAAAATTGTTGTGTTTTCTCAGTATTAAATAGGATATTTTCCCTGCTAAATTTGACTTTTTAGGACATATTATCACTTTCAGACGGCTGATAGGTCACTGAAGGGAAAAATTAGTGATAGCAATATATGGGAATCTTTCCAATTTGTCTCCCAACAGAGGGGTTAAAGTACATTTTTACCACAGCATGGAAAATGGCATTGGAAAAGAGGGCAAACTACGTGTGGCATGATCCCACATGGAGCTATAGCTCCGTGGTAGGACTGTCCAGTAAGAATGACACTTTTCTCGCCTATTTTTATTTTTAACGTACCAAGAAAATGATGGTGAAAACTGTTGTTTCTCGGACTCCCGCCTTGATCCAGTTATTGTTCTTCTTGAAAACTCGAAGAAGCTGAAAGAGTCTTGCAAATGTCTTCAAGCACAAACAGTCGGCAGCCATTTTCATGCGTGTTTTCCAAAATGGCGTCCCGTCGGTTCAGCGCACAAGAGGCCGCACGTGCTCTCCTATCAAAGGGAAAATTTTTCCGCCCACAGCTGAGCCAATCACAGAGCTCAAATCTCCGTGTGGACCAATCAGTGTTTCGCTAAGCCTGGACGCCAAAACAAACATTTGAATAATTTGCATATGCATCGGTTCATTTAAAAACGAGTCTTTTTAAAGTTAGGAGAAAATGGTACATGTGGTTTTCCTTTCAATTCATTCTGGGACAACTGTTTAGAATATAGAACCCAGTGAAAATAACAATGCTTTTTGTTTACCGAAAACTTTTAAGTTCAAATTACTGTGTAAGCAGCACTTTGGTTTATTTTAAAGTGTTGTTTGCTTAAGAGAGAATTTGAGAGTATAAATAATATATTGTTTTTGAAATTAGTTTTTATCAGAAACGGGCAGATGTATGCATCCACGCATATCACCTTGCTCCCCTAAAACACACTAAATCTGGAACGGTATAAATCCACGTCTTATAGGCGAGACAATGGAACTCCACTCTGAAATGAGAAGCCATTTTAATGCAATTTTGGTTTCAAATGTGCTTGGAATGAACCTGAAATGCTGGTGGGTGGACACAGGGACATAATTTGAGGTGGAAGACGAAAAAAGATTCTGCTTGAGAGTTTCTGACGTTCTTTTTTTTTCTCCGAAGGGTGGGGTGATGTTGTGGGGTGGCCAGGTACATTTTAAGTCCCTTACAACCCCACAGAAGTTCCGGGTTAGGGGCAACCACCAGTCCCTATAATAATATAAAACTTGTTTCAAATCAAAACCTTCATGTTACGTCACCCAACACTCCACCCCACTAAATATTGCATTCAGTGTCACTACCCCCCCCCTCCCCCGATCTAAACACTTACACTTTTAAAAAATCTGTAGTCCCCCCTCCCTCTTTAAGGATCCCCAGTAATTATATCCATATCAAAAACAAACTCAGACGGCCAAACAGAAGTGCATGCAAAATACATTTTAATAGAGAAAAACACTGACTGGTGGTACACATTATTAATAAAGGCAAAGCTTCAAAGTTACTGTTAAAACATCTGAGTACAAACAAAATATTTCCATCAATCAAAAACGTTTGATTTTATGTCATATGATTGGATTGACTGATTTGGCTGATAATACCGATTTACAACCAGAAATGAAGACTTCTTCCATTCAGTACTCTTAAATCTTCTGATAACTTCGGTAGAAAGATCATGAGATCACTGGTTTTTCCAAAAACGCTTTGAGTAACATGGGATAAATACTGCTCACCTAATTAATGAAGTGATTCAATCTAACAAGAATAGAAATAAACCGTTTGTTAATTAAAACGACAACAATAAAAAATCTGGCAAACATGGGTGAGGATACAGAGGCAGCAAAACAAAGAAGATTGATACATTTTCAAGTTTACAAAGCAAAGCCCCAAAATACATCTGTATTTATGCATGAGGTGCCATTCAGTAGCCTAGCGATGTTGTGTGTTATGTGATACATGCTACCATAAGTACCTGTATTCTAAGCGCATTGTGATGTCCTCTTAATAAGAATACTGGGGTGAAAGATCCATTATTAGGTTTTGAGTCCTGTTGTTTGATTCAATTTAGTTAACTTGAATTCTGTGAGGTTAAATATAAAATTGGTCAGAACAAACAATAAAGACTTGTGGCAAAAAAACCAGTTGTAGGAAGCTGTTTTTAAATGTGAAGGATCAATGCATAATATTAAGCATTAAAAACAAACAATATGGTAAACTGAAAACTAAAAAAAAGAAAATACAGAAAAATAAGTGGAACGTTATCTCACTGCACTGCCAAACAGCACTGCCAAACCCATTTCATAAGAAACCATGTGTACTGAATATTAAATACATGACTCCTGATTTTCGCACAGCAAATAACAGGATCTCGATTACGCATAAAATATTAGCTGAAAACATTGTTAAACAAAATTCATGCCATGCTTATTAACGCTTATTAACACATTAAAACTCTACCTGTAAAGGCTTTGAAAGACTGAATAAATTCTGAGTAAAATTTAAGAGTTTGCATTATATTGTAACATTTAGCTACAAAAAAACTAAAAGAGATAAAAATCATCAAAATGGTGGTTAAGACACTATAATGACAATTGGATGAAAAGAGTCTCAACCTAATATTATCACAAGCTCCAAAAGTTCAGGGGCGTGTCCTCTTCTCAAGAATATGCACCAATTTAAACAAATTCGGAGGCAATTCGATTTGAATTTTGTTCTCAAAACTCTGCTTAAATTTGCACTGCCTCCCTAAACAATCCAACATCTTCTATGTTTGTAATTAAATGGATTGGTACAAGGAAAGTACATAAGAGATGTTTCTATTAATCATTTACAGACCATCAATATTTTTATGAGATCAGAAATTGCAAAACCCAATATTGATTTTTCAGACTAGTTTTGAAGGCTAGCTGATTTTTAGAACTTTTGAAGAGACTACAGGGTGATGACTTGGCAATCTCCTTCCTCAGTAGCGGAGGGGCCGGTGGTGGTGCGGCCACGTGGACAGGCCTGGCAGTATGTGCTGCCCTCTAGTGACTGGTACATGCCACGTGGACACGGGTAGCAATCCTCCAGGTAGTTATACCAGCCTGACTCGCAGGGAACTGAGTAGAAATTATCAGAGAAGAAACCGCATTGTTCATGGTGATTATTATAAACACGTTCTTAACAGATCCAATACTGACACAGAGAAACATTTTTTTTTTTAAATTACTCGTTTAAAAAATTACCATTTCTCTTCAGTGATATTCTTAATTCTTCCATCAGAACAGTATTATCAAATTATGTTATCTACAGTCATGTGGTAGCACTTGAAAATGGATCATTAAATTTTCATTTAATTTCATTATCATTATTTAGCATGGCAGCCAAAGGCTGACTGGACCTTTAATTACGATTCAGCTGAATAAAACTCAGCTATAATGAATCCGCAATGCACCATGCAAGGGTGGAAAATCCTGACTGTTCTTAGACTTGGTCAATGTGTTCGTTGATGGTATCCATGATGGTATCTGGCCACTAACATTTACTTTAGCCATACGCTATGCACGGTTGGGAGTGCAAACAGTGACCTCATGTGGTTACAATATGCAAATCAGCTGGGGAAGAAAGAACGTCTTGGGACAACTGATCGCATTGGCTTATCTTTGTCCAACAAGTTTGGAGTCCACAAATCAACTAAACTTGATATAAATCCAGCCACAAAATAAAGCAAAAGATAAGCCAACGCTGTAGTCCCAAAGCGTTTGTTCTTCTCCAGCTGATTTGCACATCATAGTCGCATGAGGTCACCGTACAGTGCATAGCGTGCGACTAGTGTTCATGTTTACAACCAGATACCATCATGGACACTATGGACGAACGCCTTGACCAAGGCTAAATTGTCCTGAGTTGGTTTGGTGCAGTGGTACTTCTGACTGGTGATCCAGTGACCTGTGCACCGGTAGATTGGTTTGTTCAGGTTGTACCCCATCAATACTCATCTTGGGATTTTTGGCAAACCTCTGAATCTGATTATCTCATCAACAATTTGAACAGAGAAACAAGAATGCCACTTACCGCATCGTACGTCCTCTGCCTCCATGCGCACCGTACCAGGGGGACAGACAGGCATGCCGTAACTCTTGGTTTTTCCCAAGTCCACGTCGTAAACCTGACTGTCTACATTGATGGCAAACTGGCCCAATCTAGACTCATTGATCAGGTGACCAGCAGAGTTACGTAAGTCATCGGTTGCCTCTATGGAGTTGTGTTGGTTGAGGACTGGGATGGGTTAAATGGAGAAAGGAGAACATTGGGTTAAGTCATGACTGGTACATATGTTCTTTTTGCCTTGGAAGTGAAAGCTACACCGCAAAATTTGCTTGGAAAGACCTTGATAACAGCAATCATAGCAAGACGCTTAACAGCCCATTAAAGACCATTTCAATTTCATGATTTCTTTTCTTTAAAACCCACAAACAAGTTTCTTTCATCGCATGTTGAATGTAGCATCAATATCACAGGAAGCAGTACACCACTGAGCACAATATGTCAGCATGTCACAGAGCTAGCCATCAAATATTGGATGCAGATTGTAAACTTGAGCCTAGCTATGGGATCAATGTAGGAACAGTAAAAAAAAAATTAGAACTACGCATGCACTTTGGTTTGTGTGCGTATGGCGTGAAGTATGTATGACTACTTTTCATGTAGATGTGAACAAATAAGAGCTCTGCCTGACTGCCAGGCGTATGAGTCCCTCCAAACGCTCTCTCTTTGTGACCATAGAGGGAGTACTTGTATACAGAGCCTATACCCTCATGCCAGGGTAAACACTCATGCCAGATCATGTTTTAATTGGCCTGGTTTTCTTGACAGATATCGATGAGACCATTATCATTTCTGTCTCACCTTCTTCATTGGTCAGGTTCTGTTGATCAGGGATGTCAACATCACGCTCCAGCCTGATGGTGATATGGACTGCTTCGAGAGATCGACGTCGGCGTCTGCGGGCATGGTCCCCGGGAATGTGTGGACTGCAGCCACTGATCTGAAGTATAACAGGAAGACGAAATGAAGTTACATTCATACACATGGAAGCATACATGTGCAACAACGCAGACCTGAAATAATGAATGGAAGGTCTGCAGTAACAACATGTATATAATATCTCTTTTGAGATGTGTGATTTGAAGAACCAGTTTTTGAGTCAAAACAATGGTTCTTCTCAGAACCACACAACTCAAAACAGATATTATGATCATGATTTTACATACACAATGTAAACATCACCACTGAATGTCCTCACACTAATAGAGACAAACTAGGTAAGAAAAGAATTGTGAAAAGTACTCCCACTACTAAGGTTTGTGTATTTTAATAAGGGAATAAATGTGTGCTCCGGAGGTTTTTATCACTCTGTTTAATACCACTTAGAGTCTGGGTGCTGATAATTACCCGAGCCGGAGGCGAGGGTAATTATCCGGCACCCAGACTCTAAGTGG